CTGAAATCTTCGGTTTGGGGATTGAGCCTGCTTAAGTCCGCATTACACAAGCACATGTAACATCTCAGAAAAATAACTTCAAAATACGGCCAGCAGATCAGCAGGATACCGCTTTATCGATCTCCTTCACTTAACCGCGTAATGATTTTAAAGGCATGGGGAGACAGTAAAAGCAAGATTTGAACATTAGAGTATATGTATGGTTTCTGTTCCTCAGTTTACATCATCAGCATCCACTCCAGTTCTCAACCATCCACCTGTGTTGGATTTAGAAGAGGAACCAACCAACCACTTATATCCATTCTGCTCCTGGTGTCTTCCACAGAGATGTGAAACTACAGAACCTTTTGGTAAGTTGATCTTATTGTGGGTTTGTCTTCGGTAACCATTACTAGATTGTAATCCATTTCTCTGGTGCGTTCTGTAGGTTGATCCCCTCACTCATCAGTGTAAGCTGTGTGATTTTGGAAGTGCAAAAGTATTGGTAAGGGTTTACCTTATTTATGTTGTTTTATTATTTTTCCACTGCTTATGTGTTCTGTCTCATGAAATCAATTGCACCTTATTTGTTTTCATGATCTTTGCAACATGTGACTATTGACTTTAGGTGAAAGGTGAACCAAATATATCATATATCTGCTCTCGGTATTACCGAGCTCCAGAACTCATCTTTGGGGCCACAGAGTCTACATCCTCCATAGATATATTGTCTGCTGGTTTTGTTTTGGCAGAGCTCCTTCTTGGTCAGGTTAGTGTAAACTAATTTATCCATTAAGTATCTTGAGAACTAAAGCATCTCTCCAATATCTTTGACAATCATTTGATATTTATTTATCTTCAGCCGTTATTCCCCCAAAATTCTGTGGACCAGCTAGTGGAGATCATCCAGGTGAAGTCTCATTTTGATTTAGAGTTTACCTTGGCGTCATTATAGAAAATTCCTATAATCTAATAGATTTTTCATTATGATTAAAATTTCGTTCTGTTTAGGTTCTTGGTACTCCAACTCAAGAAGAAATCCGATGCATGAATCCAAACTTTACAGACTTTAGGTTCCCACAAATCAAAGCTCATCCATGGCATAAGGTATTTTATATGCATGTTACGTTCTAACTTTTCTGATCATACAATAGCTTAGTAGAAAAATGAAAAGCTGAAACAATACACATACTACTTTATGACCTCCAGGTTTTCTAATAAGCGGATGCCTCCAGAAGACATTGACCTTGCATCTCGGCTTCTTCAACATTCATCGAGCCTACGTTGCACTGCGGTCAGTATCTCTAAACGACCAAGTATTCTTAGTTGTTAGAGTGGTTCTCTCTGTTTGGACCTGCACTGTTTAATGATGCTGGGGCTTTTTAACTGACATGTGTTATGTTTCCGTGTCTAAAAAGCTCGAAGCATGTGCTCATCCATTTTTCAATGAACTACGTGAGCCCAATGCTCGTCTTCCAAACGACCGACCTCTACCACCGTTGTTCAACTTCAAACAAGAGGTACGTTAGTCCACTTTCCTTAAACCAACCATTCTTAAACCAAACCATAACAGATGTTAAGTTCAAACAGTTTCTTAATCTTGTATCTCTCTCTGTTTAAATGTTAAAACAGTTATCTGGAGCTTCCCCAGAGCTTATAAACAGGTTAGTCCTAGAGCATGTTAGGTGACAGATGAGTGCAGGTCCAAACAGAGAGAACCAGGTTAGTACTAGAGCACTGTTCAAGCTGGTCTGTAGAAACAACTTCGAAACCAAGATGTTTTGTTCTGGGTAAAAAAACCCATCAAGCATTTGCTTTGGGCACTAGAATTTCAATTATTTTAGAGGCCATTTTGTATAAATATGAGTTGGTTAATATGGTGTAGTGGTCTATGAAAAATGTGTTTATTTGTCATTGTGTTTGGCATATTTTATTTTTAATCAGCATTATAATTATATTATAGAATTAGCTTTTCTGAAACAACTTAAAACAGAACAAATGAAATAAAAACTATAAAACTCCATTGTCCATCTTACTGTTTACATCTACTATTCAAAATGAAGAAAATAACCTATATATTCTTAGGGGAGGTATTTGGGGATAACACGTTTTTTAATTTGGATAACGACTGATAGCATTTGCAGATTTTTGCAAGAAAAAAGAAGTTAAATATATTTCTGAATTGGGAAAAAGGTTTAAAACATTCTCAAAAAAAAAAGAAAAGAAAATAGTTATAAAAAAACAGCATATATGTATTTCCATTCATAGACGATTCTTTACCTATCTTGCGTGGTGAAAAAATAATACTCATATTTTTGTCTATGTTTGGTGTTGAAGAGATTTTCCAATAATCTATTATAAAAGATAAACTTACTTTTACGGAAGAAAATTTAGGAAAAAAATCTATATATACATTGTTCACTCGAGCTAAAACTATGGAAACTATAATGAAGAATTCAACAAAATCATGATTCTTTCTAGTAATGATGAAACTTATTACAAATAAGAAAGAGTACAAATATATGTAATTCCAGCTTATAATGAACTTGCTCACTATTTAGCAAAAAAAACTTTTTCCAACAATGTTTTCTATTCTAGTTTTATTTATCTCCCTATCTGGTTAAGCCCTCTACTTCATTGTATATTCTTCACTTTCTGATCAATATATATGCTTCTTGTACAGTTACATGTAATCCCAGTTTCCCACTCCAAAACCAAACTTCTCCACATAAGGTCAGCAATCTGAAATCTTATATAAACCATCATAGACATAAACCTTAGAGCTAACACTGTTCTCGTACATAAACCCTCTAATCACCCGTACCTCAATATCATGGTACACTAAATTCCCACTTTCTAGAGCTTCTAATGTTGAATCTGCCTGTGGAGCTTATCTTGACCACCATGACCTGTATAAACCAGAACATCTCTATGTGTCTTCATCATCCTCGTAATTACCTGAGACGACAATGCTGGTGGCTATGGGTTCATCTCCTGTGTAAGCCCACCGAGCACAGTTCATGACGGGCAAAGAATTTGTTGTTAATCACGATTACAGCTTGTAAACTTTTTCAGGTTCCGTTCTCGGCACAAGTAGTACAAGTTGTGAATATTCTTTAATCTAGAATGAGACTGGAACACCTTAACTCCACAGCCTCTTAATCCTATGTGCACAAGATTCGATACGCAATTACGTTAGCCTGTCACATGTCGACGTTATTAACTATCATATTAGAATTTAGCCAGGTTATTCTAATCTGGAAATTTTTCGTAATATATGAGTGTTGATGCGGACCATCTGAAAATGTCTATTTAATCCCATGTGGACGTCACAC